CTCATTTGAGCCTAGAGGCAAGAGCTGCTATACATTATAGGAAGCAATCTGCCTTATCTATTCTCTTTCTTGAAGCATCAACCTCTGAGCCTATGTGTAGAGACTGTGGTGTAGGAGTAAGAACTGGGAGAGCACCTCATGGTCAGTGTTTCTCTACATTCTGACCAATTGTCACTTTCTGTAATAGTCTCCGTCTGCTGCAAAAGGAAATGTCTCAGATGAGCTAGACTTCTCTGTGAGCATAGGATATATGTGAAAATACAGTGAAGAATTATACTGGTTTAGGAAAGTGTCAGTAGGAGGTATTCCTCTAGGTTCAATGACCTAAGACTCCGGGAGCATCATACAAGAGGTGGTGGAAAGAATGATAAGGAGCAAAAAACCAGAACATCTACTACAAGATTGTCTCATCTGTATATGACAGGAGAAATGCATCTTGAACTCTCAACAATGCAGTTGCTTGAATAAAACCCTAGTGATGCAAGTTAACATGCCAGTTCCGACTGGTGAAATTTCAGAAGGTCCTACCCTTCAAAGAAGAGACATTGGCAATCAGTGATTTCAGAGAGAGAAAGAATCTGTCTTCCCCGGGGATGAGCCCCAATACCAAGTGGTCAGTCCTAAAACACATACATAGGAGTACACTAAAGTGGACTCAGAAAGGTGTACTTATGTATTTGTAATATGATTTTTAAAAGGCTATGAGTTTGAGAGGGAATGGGTAGGTGGGAATGGTACACAGAGGTGATGGAGGGAATGGAAGGTATGATTTAAATATAGTACTCAGGTATGGAATTTTAAAATAAATATTAATATCATCTGGAAACATTCAGAATACTAAGTAACTAAATATCAGGATGCTGCTCAGATGAAGTTGACCATCATGTCTTTGTTTATAGAATTGGCATACTAGGTGGCCACACCCAAAAAAGGACTTTGTGGACAGACTGAAGTGTCAGTTGAAGCAATACTCAAATTTTTCAGTGTTGCTATCAAAACACCACACCTAACTTTTTGCTGTGTTGATATCTTCACCCAATATTCCCTGGCCTAAGTCAAGGGGTCCTGTGAAAATTTTCAACATTGGAAGCATCTGGTCTGGATAATCAGTACAGCAGTTGAATCACGGAGATAAACCCATCTTCTATCGTGATCTACCAAAGCTCACCTTAGACCTGGTGACCCAGTGCTTTGGAGTCTTAAGGAGAATACTGGAGGAATAGGGGAATGAGAATATTAAGTGGAAGAAAGGGCATTTTAATGAGTCTATTTTAATTCTAACTGCTTCATTACTTCTTCAGATCCCAGATGTTTGCTGGAGACAGACTAGCAGGAACAGACCATGATTTCCTGCTTCCAGTACATCCTTTCCTAGAGTAATGACTCAGTTTCCTGATCACAAAAGGGGTCACCAGCCATTGTGAATAAGTCTGGAAACCCAAATGGTAACTGAGGCCCTCCTTTCCTCCGTGTTCCTTCTAGGAATTATAAAGCCATGAAAATAGATCCGGGATCCTTGCTAATCATGGTCTTGCACCTGGCTCTAGGGGACCATCACTTCCTGTTTTGATGGTTCTCCACATCCCAGCCTCCAATCTATTCTCAGAAGAACCAGAAATATCCAGTGAAGACTTGGCATCATGCCTAAATCACCTTTGCTCAAAACTCTTTACACGTCACATACTGTCCATATCCAGTTTTCCTCATGCCTGAAACCCTGTCCCAGTTGAGCCTCAGACCATGCTACCGTCATCTTATCTTCTCCTCACTGCTGCAGTGATGTTTGCCGTTCCTCTGGCCTCCTTGACACTTTTATTTCTTGGACTATCTCTCAAGTTCTAGTGTTACCTCCACAGACAGACCCAGAACTCAAGATTATTGTTCCTCAAGTCTTCATTGTGACATCCACATAGAAACTGTAAAAGGAAAGGAAATATAGAGCTCTCTATTTGCGTTACTTTTAAAATAATAGTCTCATTCATCCCTTTTGAATTGCATACCATTGTATTTTGTTCATATGCATGTATTTTGGCCATGTACATCCTCCCTCTCCCCCAGCTTCTACAGACACAACCCCATCTACTTACCCATCAAACTTATTGTACTTTCTCATGTTTAACCCATTGAATTAATTTTATGCCCAAATTCCATTGGTTGTGGGGTCATCTTCTGGAGCACGGGTTACCTATCAGGCTGTGGTCACACCCTTAAAGAAAATTGACTCTCCTTTTCCCAGAAGCCATCCATTGTCAGTATCTTCTCAACAGGGGACGAGACTTTGTGTCCACCTCCCATCTCCATGGTTTTGCACAGGCTGAAGCCTGTGCAAGTTTATTTGCGTTCTTACTATGATGTCAGTTCCATTCATGAGGATGACTGCTGCTATAGAAAATTTAGAGGCTTAAAATTACTCACATTTATCATGCTACATTTGTGAAATCCAAACTGCCAGTCAGAGGACTGAAAGTGAGATGTTAGTGGAGTGACTTTCAGAATGTGTGAAGAGAAACCATTTCTCAACCTTTAGAATCTGTGGCCACTTTATTCTGACTTCTGTTTATACCATTTACACTATTTTTCTTTCTAGTTTTCTGAAACATTGTTCTCTCTCTCTCTCTCTCTCTCTCTCTCTCTCTCTCTCTCTCTCTTTCTCTCTCTCTCTCTCCCTCCCTCTCTCTCTCTCTCTCTCTCGCAGGTTTTCTTTACCACTGTAGTGAGACTTGAGAGACTGCTGGGTGATATATGCTATTCTTTCATCTTAGAGTCTTTATAGTTCCATTACCTTTGCAAAACCTCTTTTACCATGCAAGGTAACGAATGAGACTATAACATCTTTCAGGGTTGTTGCTCTACCTTGCTGCAGAAGGCAATGAAAGGGGCTTGAGTCTGCTTTTCTCTTGATCCTTTTTCATGGTTACCATGATTACCTGGTGGTATCAAACATAAGCTGTGGTTATGAGGAGTTTTCCTTTAGATGTAAATGCCACAGAAGCTGTAGACCACTGTCACTACACACACACACACACACACACAAATGCACACACACACACAGACACACACAGACACACTCACACATACAAACACACACTCTCTCAAACACACACACAGACAGAGAGACAGAGAGAGAGAATTTTCCTCCAAGACAATGGGAGGGGAGGTTCCTGCAAGACAATGAGAGAGAGAGAGAGAGAGAGAGAGAGAGAGAGAGAGAGAGAATTTTCCTCCAAGACAATGGTCCAGGGTCATGTCATTAATATTTCCATCCAATATTTCTGCCTATCCTCACCTCACTTCTGGGCAGATTGTTGGAAGGAATCATAGCATGTGCCAATATACAGCAGGCTCTTTTCTGAGTAAGAAGGATTATGTAATTTCTTCTGGCTAATAAGTGATTGTAGGGTAAGCATTCCATTGGTGAGATGAGATATGTAGTGCTTTTCTATGCTTTCTTTGATTATCTAGATTACCAAGTTAAGGGAAAGTAAACTTAGAGTCAACATGCAGAATAAAGCCAGATGGAGAAGCCTACCAAAATTTTCTGTACTTGACTGTGTAAGGCAGGAGTATTTTAAGTTTGAGACAAGCATGGGCTACTTGATAGTGCCCTGTCTCAAAAGCGAACAAAACAAAAATGTTCAGGATAAACCAGTAAGCTTTGCTGTATAATTATAAGCCACCATATGCAGCCTGGAACTTAGCTTCTGTTGACTGGTGTGCACAAGGGTTAAAAGGAAGGAAAGATGAGAGTGACTAGCACTGACTCTGCTAGCTGCTCCTCTCGGTTCACCTGGTTCTATTCACAGGCCACTCATTCATCAGCTACATTCATGGCCTTTCTTGTTCCTTGAATGGAAATGCCCATTAACTTTGCCTTCTTCTTGTTCAGTTTCTTTGCTAAAGTGATAGGACATTTCATTTTTTTCCACAAAGAAGCAGTTACAGTTTGTTAAGGAGCAATTCTAATGTAGATTAAAACATGGATATTAAGAAAGAAAGAATAGTGTTTAGGAAAAGAACAGCACACATCTAAGACATGGGTGTAGACTTCTCAACAGTTTCCAAAGTCTATGTAAAAGTGTACTCACAGACTTTTTTCCTTGACTGCAGGCAGCTGCTTCTGTCCCTTTCTCATGATAGAAATGGTGACAGATCTGCAGGTGTGATAGCCAGGGGCTGTGGAAAAAGTGTAAATGGTGCTGTGGACATTTAATAGGATCCATCCCTTGTAATAAGCCTTGGAAATGAAGTATGATTATTTCATAGTAAATGCACAGTAGGACATAATTTTGGGATTTCATAGAAATCAAGGTAGAAGAAAAACGAAGATATCTGGGGGCCAAAGAATGGAGCCACGCTGAGTTACCAAGACCTAGATATGTGTCATCATAGGCACCAGGGCTCCAGGTTTCCCCTCCTGAATTACATCCATCTCTTGTCCCCTCTCACCCTATTCTTGTGGGCCTTTTGTCCTCAGCAAATGTTGGGGTGAGCAGAGCTTTCCACAGCTGGAGCCAGAGAACTATATGCCTGCAGATTAAAACTGCACCTTAGATGTGCACTTCACAAAAAAAAAAAAAAAATTCTGCTGGAGTACTCATAAGCATATGAGAGCATCTAGTTCTGCAGCTGGGTGTCAATAAAGGGCTCCACTGGCCAGCCTGATAACTCATGACCCAGTGAAGAACATTGTTTCCATGGAAACCTGCAATTGGTGACCCAAATATGCAAGTTAAAGTTAGCTACTTTACCTACCTCATTGTGTGGGTCTGCTGAGGGTTGCCACTATTACATAAAAATCAGGGCTCTTTTTTTGCATAGGTGGATTTTCTCCATGGAAGTCATCAGTTCTGTCAGCATAGACCATGGGGGTCCCCCTGTTCTAAATCAGCTGCACTTAGTTATAAACTTTTTTTGTTGGGGGACTAGCCAAAACTGAGATGGGAGTCATTCTCCAGGGTATTGCTCACTTGCATCTTACTCTGTTTCTTAAACCCCTGCAGGGCGAGCCCTGCTGAGACTCACAGACAAGAAACTGGAGCGCATGGGGATCTCCCAGGAGAACCAGCGACAGCACATCCTGCAGCAGGTGCTCCAACTGAAGGTTCGGGAAGAAGTCAGAAACCTGCAGTTACTCACACAAGGTACCCTGCTGTTTCCTGGTGGGTGGGTGCATGGGAAGACAGAAAATGTTATCACTGTGACAGAGGGGAGCCAGGAAAAGTTTGTTGTTTCCTTACAGGATTTCCTTCATTAAAAGAAAAAACAAAGTAGGTAGCCTTAAAGACTACTTCTCTCTAAAACTTTTTCATTGCTCACCAGAGAGAAAGATGCATAAATAAGTAATGGATGCACAAATAGAATTACTGCAGCTAACTTCAAGGTTATCGCATACAACTGCAGAAATTGCCTACTGTACAACCCCAGAGAGTACCAATCACACTGGTCAGGGTCCAATTGTTCCCTCCAGAGTTATGTTGCGTGCAGACTGCACAACTGAGTACTATAGTCCTGGATGCCCTCAGCTTACCAGTAATTCTGAGGAGATCTTAGAATTCAAGTAATTCTAAACTTAATATGGCCGGTGATGGAGATGTGATTTTGATACATTTTCTTTTACATTGCTTTTCATTGCCCAACAGAGAGGAAATATTTCAAATGTATCTTTATTTAACTGAATTAATGCATGCCTATACTTTAGGGACTTTGAAAATTCTATTAGCTTCTTGGGAATAGAATGATTTAAAATCTAGACTAGAGAATTTAAATTTGGGATATTAAGACTGTTTAACTCATAATAGTGTGATAAGAGAACCTAATAACCTTGTAACTTTGAAGTGTCAAAAATATCTAAAATTTGAAGAAAAACCTAAGTCCCACTATATCTCACTTATGTATACATATAATTTGATAGATATAGACTTCCATCGACTGTACTTTTTCTTCTTTTGTTGTCCATCATGCATCGTTTTAAATGAAAGGATGATAAAGTAAGTGGTTTTGAGAGCATTGGGTAATTTTCAATAAGCGGATATAGTAATGGCATCCATATGGATATTGGAGAAATGTGTGTCAGCCAAGATACATGTTATTGCATTTAGACTAACCCAGTAATAGTCTTGTTGCCTAGAACAGTGGTTCTCAACCTGAGGGTCGAGACTCTTTTGAGGGGGGTCACATATTGGATGTCCTGCATATCAGAATACATTACAGTTCACCACAGTAACAAAATTTCTCTTCAAGTAGTAACAAAATAATTTTATTGTTGGAGGTCACGACAACATGAGGAACTGTATGAAACAGTCAGCATTAGGGAAGTTGAGAACCACTGACCTAGAGGAAATGATGAAGTGCCTGAAAGATAAGCATCGTTGAAGGATAAATATATACAGAGTGATGTAGAAAATGGTATCAGCTGTTTGACAGGCTTCTTTGAAGTTTCTCCCCAGAGAACCCTTGTGGTGTGTTCAGGAGAGTGTTTATACTAAGTAATTTAAATTTGAGTGTGATTTGCTGATATGCCTTTAAGTTTCTTTAAAAAAAATAGAAATAATACAACTTAAGGCAAGAAATGCTATCACAATGCTACTTATAAAATGGAGTAAAATGAAGCAAATAACTCTGCTTAAATGCCACGTAATCCAGGCATTAAAGATGCTAGACGTGAGATGAAATCGTATGGAAAAGTTGACATATAGCCTGCCTCAATTTTTCAATATATCTATTATAAAACCACGTAGTGGTTCTACATGTAGCATATGAACCCTCTACCACAGCATACTTCTTTCTACCTCTCTGTGTTTGGGGAAGGTCCTGAGTTCAACCTTTCTGATTTCGTTGTTGGCATTTTCTATCCCTTTGAAACTGTACGTTCTTTATTCTCTCATGCCATTCCCTTCAGAAGGAACTAGTGTTCTCTAGCTCATGGGTGTTATTCTCTGAATTTTTATTGCCTTTCTTATTGCTTGTCCTTTACATGTTACTGTTCAGAATCACTTTATATCAGACATCCTTTATAAAATCCATAGTGTTATTGAAGTGATAATTTCTTGGTTTTTTTTTCCTTAGAAAGAGATACAAAATTGACAAGATGTTTGAAGATTGATAATAGAGGATGTAAAGAGATCTGGGGAAGCTTTAAATTTTGGGGGGTCTCAGTTTGTTCTAATAAGAATCAATGTTCCATCAACTCAAGGGAGCTGGCTGGTTTGGCATGCATAGCATATGGATGTTCACTACAGGGGTGATGTGTGATTCAATATTAAACATTTGATTCTTCAAACGTCCAACTACAAAGTTACACCAACAATAGGCTGGATAAGTACAATGATTATACAATTTCAGTCTTTTTAAAACCTCTGTGGGTCTTTGTCTTGAGGAGACTGGGTCACACCTCCAGCTTTTTCAAATGGGACACAGTGCCAGGACACATGAAGTCATTACCCTAAAGCAAAACATGTTTCTGTTGCTATCGATTGTACAGTCCGATCAAGCTGCTACAGAAAATACCACAAACTGATTAGCTTCCTGTGCTGTAGTTACCATTCTTACTGCTATGACAAAGTACCTGATGGAAGCAACTTTAGGAAGAACAGGTTTATTTTAGATCACAGTTTGAGGGTAGATCCATCATGTGAGGGAGAGTGTGGCAGAAGATTATGAGGCAGCTGGTCACATGATTTCTACATTCAGAAAGCAGAGAGACACAACTGCTGCTGTTCAGTTCCTGTTCTCCTTTTGATTCACTCCTGAATCCAGGTTCACACAATAAGTGGTCTTCCAACCTCAGTGACTTCCGTCACAGACATACCCAGAAATTTATCTCCTGTGTGATCATAGATTCTGTCAAGTTCACAATCCACCTTAATCATCACAGTTAAAAGCAACAGAATTTGTTTCTCATGTTTCTGAATGCTGGGAAGTCTAGGGTTATGTATGACACTAGGGAATTACGTTTTATAGGCCATTCTTACCGAGTCCTTCCCCTGTGTTTCACATCTCAGAAGCAAGACAGAATCCATCTGAGATTCATACCAAAGGGATCTCATCAAATCCTGCCCTCATCACCTAATCCTCTATGAGAGATCCCAGTTCCCCTTAATTCATACCTTAAGAATTACAACTTCAATATATGTGTGTTTGTCAGACTGTTGCATTGGTACTTAAGTTTATATTATTTTAAACAAAACTAACTATTTTTAAAGGTAGTTTTGTGTGTGTGTGTGTATGCTCACATGTATATATGTATGCACGTATGGAGATAAGATGTTGATGTAGAATGCCTTTTATCACTCTCTACCTACTTTAGTTTGTGCAACTCAACATAGAGCTAGCTCACTGACTTCTCTAGGTTGACTGGCCAGTGAGCTCTAAAGATCTGCCTGTCTCTACATCACAGTTCTAACACCCCACACACACACACACACATGCACAGTTGAGCACACACACACACACACACATACACGCATGCACAGAGAGAGAGACATTGAGAGAGCGAGACAGAGAGAGATGCAGTGCAGGAGTTACAGATGTGCATCATCATGCCTGGCTCTTTGTGTAGATGTGCTTTTGAGACCTTGTGCTTGTACAGCAGTTACTTTTAACCCTCGAGCCGTCTCCTCAGCCCTCAAAGGACTCCTTTTTTGAGGAAAGGATTTTTTTTCTTTTAAATGATTGGATTTTTTTGTGTATTTTTATTTGATTTTTAGAGTCCCTTTATAAATATATAGGTATTTTTTGGAAGACTATAGGTGGCTTCCTTTAAAGAAAGAGCTAAGTAAATCGTGGCACATATAGTTACTGGGAGTGTTTGAACCTGTAAATGAGAAATGAAGAAGGACCCCTGGGAAACCACGAAAAATAAAACAAAACCAAAATTCATAACAATATGCAAATTGTACATTTGCCATTTAGGGAGAAATGTTGTCTCTCTGTGTATATACTTTGTCTATATAAGAAATACTAAATAATGTATATGAAACTAATATAAGTTACACCCATGGGTCAGGGAAATGGTCATAGAAAGAGAATACATGCTTCGAATGTCATTTTGCATTTGAAATATGAGTGTTTGAACTATTTTAAAGAACACACATAAAAAATAAACAAGAAGGAGAAAGTATAAATTTAGCGTTAGATATGCCTGGATTTTAAGCACTGCCCTGAATATTTAATTTTGTTGCTTCCGGGAAATTCTTTAAGCGCTCTGCTCCCATTCACTAACTTGTGAAATAGAGATGAGTGGCTCTGCTCAGGCAATGAGAATATGGCAGGAATTCGAGGCTAACATACTCAGCCATTAGCCTTGTCACATAATTAAACCAAGCTTGTACATTTATAACAAGTCACATCATGTTAATACCTTTTCTACATAAATTTATCTGACACTCAGTTTACTTCCATTCACATGTGTTGATTTTACAGGGGTGAAATTAAATTTTTTTTTAATTTTTTTATTGGTCGTTTTGTTTATTTACAATTCAAATGTTATCCCCTTCCTGATTTTTTCTCGGAAACTCCCTCATTCCACCCCCTCCCCCTGCCTCCACGAGGGTGCTCACCCACCCACCTACTCTCACCCACCACCCTAACATTCCCCTACGCTGGGGCATCAGGCCTTCACAGGACAAATTGACTCCCCTGCCTTTGATGCCAGACAAGGCCATCCTCTGCTACATCTGCAGCTGAAGCTATAGATTCCTTCATGTGTATTCTTTGGTTGATGGTTTAGTCCCTAGGAGCTCTAGGGAGTCTGGTTGGCTAATATTGTTCTTCCTATGGGGTTGCAAACCCTTTCAGCTCCTTCAGTCTTTCCCCTAACTCCTCCATTGGGGTCCCCCTGCTCAATCCAATGGTTAGCTGCAAGCATGCCCATCTGTATTGGTAAGGCTCTGGCCAAGCCTCTCAGGAGATAGCCATATCAGGCTCTTGTCAGTAAGCACTTCTTGGCATCAGCAATAGTATCTGGGTTTGGTGGCTACATATGTGATGAATCCACAGGTGGGGCAGTCTCTGGATGGCCTTTCCTTCAGTCTCTGCTCTACTATTTGTCCCTCTATTTCCTTTAGACAGGAGCAATTCTGGATTAAAATTTTGAAAAGGGTGGGAGGCTCCATCCCTCAACCTCTGGATATGGTTTCTACAG